TGGCAACTCGCTCAGCGGCGTCGGGGCCGCAGCCAAGAGTCACCTTCCACGGAGAACCTGCGACCCACAGCGTCCCCCGGGGTCCTCGGTCCTTGTGGCCGCTTCTTCTTACCTGGGACACAAGGGACGGGCGCCTAAGACCCGCCGTTTCATTCCTCACGCTCCTATCATTGCGGAAGCAACGCGTGGGGGGTCGGGCTGGTGCTGGCTGCACAGCGGCCTGGAGTTCTCTGGTGGCGCTGGGGGAGCTCCAGAGCCGAGGTCACGGAAGACACCTTAAACCCCGTGGGGTACGACATTTCCTTATAGTGAAATTACAGAAAGACGCCACCCCAAAACAACGGTAGCGTGGCCGAGCGGTCTAAGGCGCTGGATTAAGGCTCCAGTCTCTTCGGGGGCGTGGGTTCGAATCCCACCGCTGCCATGGGCTTTTCATTCTCAGTATAGACTCTTTTAGGAGAATCCCTTCTGAAATCCTCGGGATGGATGATGGTTGGTTATTACGTAACAATACCGTTCTTTCCCTCCTTTGACTTCTGTTTACCAAGGAGCCAGAGATAACCTCCCCCAGAACAGTGTTCCCCCTTTAATGAATGAGAGGCCAGTGTACTCCAGGCTCCTCGGATACAGTAATGAGTGACACAAGCAAAATAAACGTTTAATGGCACGTACTTCCTTATTACAAACAAACCAATGGATGTCTGACTCTTGCAACCTGCTCATAACTAAAGACAGATCCCACCAATTCCCCTAAAGGAATATTATTATTTATTATTATTATTTTGAGAAAGAATCTTGCTCTATTGCCCAGGCTGCAGTGCAGTGGTGCGATCTCGATTCACTGTAACCTCTGCCTCCCCGGTTCAATCGATTCTCCTGCCTCAGTCTCCCGAGTGGCTAGGATTACAGGCACGCGCCAACACACCCCGTCTAATTTTTGTATTTTTAGTAGAGACGGGATTTCGTCATGTTGGTCAGGCTGCTCTTGAATTCCTGGCCTCAAGTGATGCTCTCTCCTCAGCCTCCCGAAGTGCTGGGATTACAGGTGTGAGCCACCGCGCCCAGCCTAAAGGATTAATTTATGTTTGAAATCAGTTGCTGTTCTTCCTCCAGCCTCTCTGTGGTGTGCTCACTTCATGCTTGGAACCCTGGTTCTGTGGACTGGAGAAGAGACAACCCTAGGAAAAGTGCCAGTGCCTTGCCCTGCCAGGTTTTTTCTCTGCATGCTTCTCAGTACCCATGTCTCTGTGGTTTCTGGGACAGCCCTATCCCTCCTCTGAGCAGTTCTCTCTGCTACTTCCGGCCTGTGTCTCATTCGCTAGACCTCAGCTTGGAATTTGCTTCCCCCTGGAAGCCTTCTCTGATTTCTTTCTCTTCCTCTGTTCAGCTTCATAGTTAAAATTTGGGAGGTTACAGACATGATATGCAAGGGAACAGCACAGAACGTCCCTGCCCCATGGAACTTAAGGTTTAGCTTCGGTCTTATGGGGGTTCACAAGAATTAGACCAGTTATTGCCATACTAATATGGTGCAAACTTTACTAAAAAGGAGAGAGTTTTCTATGTGTAGATTTTGAATGATGTTCCAGATTTAAGATAATAAAAAAATAATATGAATTGTATGTTAGAAGGAAGGACAGCCACAGCATTGTTCCCAGGGGTTAATGTTGAGCCACAGCATTGTTCCGTGGGTCTGTTTCTGCATGGACCGTTATTACGGATCAACCCTTACAATGTATTGTAAGCAAGCCTCTGTACTTTGTTCCCCTCTCCAACAACCAGTTTTCTGATTTTCCATGGACACCAACTAGTGTTTAATAATTCGATGTGACTCTGACACTAACTACAGGTAATTAGTGCAGCCCCCACATGTTATGGACTCAGACCCACAACACTGTCCCCTACTTCACACATGTGGCAAGTCCCAGGCCTCCTGTACTTTTGAGTACTTTCGACTGACTGGCTAGAAATTGGGGGTTCCCACAAATCCCTCCTCATGGTCCATGATTTGCTAGAACAGCTCACAGGACTCAGGAATACACTTCACTTATATTTACCAGTTTATTATAAAGGATACAGCTCAGGAACACCCGCATGGAAGAGATGTATAGCATAAGGTATGTGGAAGGTACCTGAAGCTTCCATGCTCTCTCTGGGCGAGCTGCCCTCTCAGCACCTCAATTTGTTCACCAGCTTGGAAGCTTTCTGGACCCTGTCATTTAGAGTCTTTATGAGGGTTTCACCACCACTGATACAATCCATTAACTCAATTTTCAGTCCCTTTCCCTTCATCAGAAGGTGGAAGCCAGGGCTGAAAGTTCCAGGCTTCTAATCAAGGCTTGGCCTTTCCTGTGACTGGACACTGAAACCATCTAGGGGCCTTCCAAGGGTTATCTCATTAGAACAAAAGAGGCTCCTATCCCTCCATAAATTTTAAGGGATTTAGGAGCCGTGTGTTGGGACAAGGGAAAAGACCAAATATATATATTTCTTAATATGACACAGAGTCACCAACTAATTTTGTTTTGGACAAAAACAATTTATAGCTAGTCAGTTGGAAGCACAGGAGGCCTGGGACTTGCCACGGCAATTACTACAGCTTTAGACGTCTTGACATCGATAAAGTATGTCATGCTCTTTTGTTATTTTTCTTTAAAATTAACTTGGCTATTCTTGGAAGTATTATATTGCATTTCAATATAAATTTCAGAATCAATTTGTACTCAAGATTTTGTTTAGGTTAAACTGAATCTGTAGATCAATTTGGGGGAAACTGACATTTTTACAATGCTTAGTCTTCCAGTCTATGAACAAATGTAGTCATCCTTTCATTTAGATCTTTTGTAATTTTTCCAAATACTGTTATAGTTTTATGTGAAGCTTTTACATATTTCTTCTTAGATTCATTCCTAAGTATTTGATCATTTCTGATGCCATTATAAATGACACGTCAGAGAAAATTTCATTTTTGAAGTTTTTATTGCTGGTGCATAGACATATAATTGTTATTGAACTTGTATTCTGCTGCCTTGTTGAATTTATTAATTTTAATAGCTCATCTGTAGATTCATTTCAGTTTTCTTGATGGACAATCATGAATAGCAATTTTATTTTTTCCCTTCATATCCTTCTATTTTTTATTTCCTTTTCTTGCCTTATTGCAGTTAGTAAGGCGTGGAGTACATTTTTTTTTTTTTTTTGAGACAGACTCTCATTCTGTTGCCCATGCTGGAGTGCAGTGGCATGATCTCGGCTTACTGCAACCTCTGCTTCCCACGTTCAAGCAATTCTTTTTGCTTCAGCCTCCTGAGTAGCAGCCACACACCTGGCTAATTTCTGTATTGCAATACCAGATACACGTAGTCAAACTACAGTCCTTACCAAGAAGTATCTTATCATCCGTATTAAATGAAGTTGGCATTCTTCATTTCTCTTGTCAGGTAAAAATAATTTCATTATCAATGTTCCTGGCAAAAATTTTGTTTGCATGTAGAATGCAATTAGATTAAAAAAGTGAGTTTTACCTGATTTTTGTATGTAAATTTTTTTTTTTTGAGACAGGGTTTCACCATGTTGGTCAGGCTGGTCTCGAACTCCTGACCTTAGGTGATTCACCTGCCTTGGCCTCCCAAAGTGCTGGGATTACAGGCGTGAGCCAGCACACCCAGCTTCTGTATGTAAACTATAACTCAGACTAACTCTTGTTGGGTAACTCTTCAGAATGAGAACTACATCCTAGGGTTTTAAGCGACATGTTTTATCATTCAATTATGCACCTGACCTTTGAATTCCTTCAACATTATTCCTACCAAACTTAGTACTTATGGCAGAACCTGTTCCAGTTAAGTACGTCCTAAACGTACAGACGTCCTGTGGCTTCTTCTTGTGGACTCTGATTCTATCCTGGGATAGTTGCAGAACAAGATTAACCCACTGCTCATAAAGTAGTTCTTCAACATTTTCAAGACATATCTTTATCACCGGGTAAAAAAACTAAACTTTATTCAAGTACGCTCTCAAAATGTTCATGTTATGTGTTTAAGAATCAGTAAAGACTTCTGGAAGTCAGGCTAGTAATTTCTTACTGCAAGACTGAAAGTTAATCAGGAGTTCTAAAAGCAGATGTGAGGCTCACAGAGCTATTTTAAGACAATAGTTATGTTGAAGAGGGATTGGTGCAAGTGGGGTCTGAAAGCAATCTGTTTGGATCCAATAGGGAGGCGATCAGAGAAAGGGATGGACGTTAGACACTGAGTGCCCTGAAAAGTTTGCTAATAAATTTGGAAGATTTCATGTCATGTAAATATTTAAGAAATAAACACTGAAAAAAAAAAAAAGAAATAAACACTGAAAAATTCTGGCATATCTATAACCAAATGCTTAATTAGATGGAGCATGCTTCATGCTCTTCCACATATGAACTGTTACTTGAACAGTTTACAGTTGATTTCTCCTTATTTGTGATTTATTACAGGCACCCACCATCAGGCCTGGCTAATTTTTATATTTTTTAGTAGAGACAGGGTTTCGCCATGTTGCCAGGCTGGTCTTGAACTCCTGACCGCAAGTGATCCTACCTCAGCCTCCCAAAGTACTGGGATTAAGGCATGAGCCACCGTGCCTGGCCCTTATCTGTAGTTTCTAAACCTGTTTGCTCCCTTTTCACTTTGAATCTCAGTAATCCTGATAAAATATGGAAAAGTATCATTCTAGCTTTATGTTAAAAAAATTGCTAAAGATGATCAGTGTTTATAAGTTAAAAATTTTCTGTGCTGAACTGAGGTACAACTGCATGTCTGAAGGATGTGGTACAAACATATGGGAATTGCCTAGGAAAGCTCGAGCATTTGGGGGTCATTTGCACAGAATTTACTAGTTACGTGATCCTGGGCAAGTTTGCTAATCTGTCTGTGCCTCAAATTCCTGATCCCATAGGGACATTATATAGATTTTAAAAGTTTAAATGTGTAAATCCCTTAGAATAGTGACTGGAACACAGCAAGCACTAATAAGTGTTTATTATTACTATGAAGTGATTGACAAACTCTTGGAAGTAAATGTGCTCACCAAAAAAATAAATACTGAATGAGAAGGTAAAGGACAATGTCTTTGGAGAATCTCACAATCAAGGATCAGGAAATCAGGAATAACTAATATAGTAGACAGAAGGACCAGACTCTTAGCTAGGAGAAACAGAAAGTAACACCAGCAACGTTATGCTCAGGCAGTGGTCAAAATACTGACTACTGAGGTCTGAGAAACAGTTACTGGAGAGAGGGATTTCCTACTCTCAAGTTCATGGGCTCTCCACACTTGATGTTTTCTTTTCTTATGTCCAGTTAGATTTGAGCTCACTCTAAAAGCTTTTCCACACTCCTCACATTCATAAGGTTTCTCCCCAGTATGAACTCGCTTATGTCCAATCAGAGCTGAGCCCTGACGGAAGGACGTACCACACTCACTGCAGGCATATGGCTTCTCACCAGTGTGGATTCTTTTATGCTGCCTCAGGACTGAACTATGATGGAAGGCCACTCCACATACCTCACATTTGTGAGGCTTCTCTCCAGTGTGAATTCTTTGATGATTGGTCAAGTTTGACTTCCCACTGAAAGCTTTGCCACACACTACACATTTGTAAGGTTTCTCTCCAGTGTGGATTCTCTGATGGATAGTAAGGCAGTGCCGATCCTGGAAGGTTTTTCCACAATCCCCACATAGATAGGGTTTCTCCCCAGTGTGCGCTCGTTCGTGAGCCCTGCGCTTACAGTTATGACGAAAGGCTTTCCCACACTCCTCACACCTGTAACGCTTCTCTTCAGCGTGGATCCTCCTGTGTTTGGTGAGTTCTGCCTTGATGCTGAAGTCTTTTCCACACTGGGGGCACCCATAATGTTTCTTCCGCGTATGGGTTCGTTTATGTTTGCTTAGGTCTGAGCTCCGACTGAAGGCCCTTCCACACTTGCTGCATTCATAAGGTCGTTCCCCAGTGTGGATTCTTACGTGTTTGGTGAGGTCTGAACTCCCGCTGAAGGCCTTCCCACACTTATCACATTCATATGGCTTCTCCCCAGTATGGATTCTGCTGTGGATGGTCAGGGAATACTTAAACTGGAAGGCCTTCCCACAGCAGTTACATTCATAAGGCTTCTCCCCAGTGTGGATGAGCTGATGCATACAGAGACGGTTCCTGGTCTTGAAGGCCTTCCCACAGTCCCTGCACTCGTGAGGCTTCTCCCCACTGTGGGTTGTTTTATGTCGGCAAAGAGCTGATCTACTGTTGAAAGCCTTCCCACACTGGGTGCAGTGAAATGGTTTCTCCCCTGTGTGGATTATCTGGTGCATAGAAAGCTGACTTCTGGTCTTGAATGCTTTCCCACACTCATTACACACATGGGGTTTCTCACCAGAATGAATTTGCTCATGGAGAATGAGATCTGAGTGCCAACTGAAGTTTTTGCCACAACTGGCACATTTATGGAGTTTCTCTGCAGTAAGAACTCTACTACATGGACTATGCATTGAGTTTGGATTCATGCTTTTTCTAAATACCTTCTGGTTCTTTTGTTTTTTGGAGGTTCCTTCCTCCGAGCCTTCTTTCTCTTCCCTCAGTTTCTCCCATATAGGTGTTTCCCAAGGATTCCCTAATTTGACATTTTGAACACAAGCTTCTCTAACCTCAGGATCCTCGGAACCAACTTTTAGGAGACCGTTAAATTTCACCCAGTAGACTTCTCCATTTTCAAAAATCTCTTGTTGTGAACTTGCCTTCTCATTCTCAGGCCATGTCTTGTCAGTTGACACTTAAACAAGAAAATACAAATGTCAGAAGAAAGGAAATAAGTGAGATGGGAGAGGTAAAAAAAATTCAAGCTGTTTGAAGAGTAAATAACTTTTCCATGCTGGAAAAATTACCAACGTTGTGGCCAAAAGTCAGAAAAGGCTATAATGATGGTAACTACTGAGGTATTTTAAAATCAGTACACTTTATTAAAAAAAATCCTTAAAAACCTTCTCCTCCTCTATAGTCTCCTAGTTTAGTGAGTGTAAATGCTATACACCTAGTCATCTAAGCACAAGACGAAATCATCTTCAACTCCATCTCACTCATATTTACCCAGCTAACACTTTAGAAATTCTACCTGTGAAGAGTTACAGGGGAGGTGCTGAAATGCGGATGCAGTCCCTTTTCAAGGAACTGTCTGCTTTGCTCCCAAGAGAGAGTCCTGGAGAACCATATTTTTATGTGACCCAGCCGATCTCATTGGGGAAGATTAGATCTGTGCAATAACTGACCCAAACCAGGCTAGATTCTCTCATCCTGGACCTTAGAATTGTGATCTGAAGGTAGGTAACACCAGCTCTAAGAGTAGCTCAGTCTTTAGCACTTAAATTTGAGAACTAGTGGTGGTAGGATGGTATTTGGTAAAGAGGAGGGAACATGATACCATCTGGTCTGAGAAGCAGAGGTCAATTTGCCCAGAAAGAAGGAAGCTGACCCACAAAGAAGCAGGGAATACAGCTGGAGAGAGGGACCTGATGGTTTCCAGTCTCTTCTAGAGCCTGACACATATCTGCCCTTAGGTCCCATGACACATCTGAATAACAAATAAATTCATGTTTCCGCTTAAGCTAGCTTGGGTTAATTCCTATTGCTGGCAACCAAGGAGTCCAAACATCTTATTAATATTATCTCTGAACTCTATCTCTTCTTCATTTCCACTGCTGGTGCATTCTCACTCCCTAATTGCTATTCCCTCAAATATCCTTTAGTCTGACTACCTTCTAATCCATCCTCTACACTGCTTCCAGGTTATTCTTTCTGAAAATCAAGTCTAATCATGTCATTTTTTAGCTTAAAATACTTCAATGGCACCCCTTATTTAACTAGACAGGAAGAAAGTAAAGCATATGGTCAAGAGCCCTAGTTCCAGAGTGAGACTGCCTGGGTTCAAATCCTAGTTCTGACACTTCATAACTCTTAATAGCTGTGTGAACATGGGAGGATGACTTCACTTCTTCTTTGCCTCAGTTGGATTATCTATAAAATGAACTCTAGACTATCTATGATGATTATATCAGTTGATGTATGTAAAGCACATGCCACACTGAAGTATTTTAATTAAAATTAGCTGTTACTATAAGTTCAAGTTTTATAGTTTAAATTCCTTAAGAACACTCCCCAAAAACAGAAGTCGTATCATGCCCTTGCCCCTTTCTCCTGCTTATGAACCTCCCCAGAGCTTTTCTACGTCCTTTGCGCTACTCATACTGAACAATTCAGTCCATATTCTTTTATTCCTCAATACTTTCTCACATGTTATTCCTTCTGCCTAGAATGCCTCTCACCTGTTTCAATTTATAAGCCCTGGAGTAACTGATACACAGAAGGGTGATAAATATTCTGAGCATTTTTTCTGAGGTGGAATCTCGCTCTGTCCCCCAGGTTGGAGTGCAGTGATTCTGGCTCACTGCAACCTCTGTCTCCAGGATACAAATGATTCTCCTGTCTCAAACTGCCCAAGGAACTGGGATTAAAGGCATGAGCCTAGCTATTTTTGTATTTTTAGTAGAGACGGGCTTTCACCATGTTGGTCAGGCTGGTCTCAAACTCCTGACCTCAGATAATCTGTCCATCTCAGCCTCCCAGAGTGCTGGGATTACAGGCGTGAGCCACTGTGCCTGGCTTCTAAGATTTTTTTGAGGGCCAAATTGCAAAATCTATTAAATAGGTTGCAAAGAACCAATTAAACAGTGACAGAATAATTGCCCAGTTTGTCATTGTTTCAGTTTTCTTTTAAGTTTCCTAAATGGGTTTCCTTTCTGGGCCCTTTGGGCCGAACAGTCCACCACTGAGAATGCTCCATAACCACTGTCACATGGAAGATCAGAGGGGACTGAAAGCTTCTCTATTACTCACCTGGGTAGGAGCAGCTGAGGGACAGCCCTGTGTCCTGTGGATCCTGCACACAGGGCTCTACTCCTCGCTCCAGATGAGAGATTAAAGGAGGTTTAGGAAATGGAAATCCTGGTTGAAGAGAAGAAATAAGTGTGTTGAGTAACATATAACTTAATGCTTAGCCCTGATCCTTCTGTCTGCATATGGAAACAGGAAAGAAATGTTAATTTAGGTAGAGAAAAGGGTTTTTCAGGGGTCTTGTGACATGTAAAAGAACATGTTTAGGGACTTTTTCAGAAAAGTCACACTCAAAGGGAAAGAGAAGGTTCTGGGAAACAGTCATTTGGGTGTACTTCCCTGTTTTTTTTTTTTTTTTTTTTTAAGGAGAATAGGAGTCTATACAGGAAGACTACCAGTCTTAGGTACCTAGAAGGCAGTTCATGACTAGGAGCAGAATACAGAACATGTGATAAGACAATGAGAGGTGTGAGGAAGCAAAGACCCAGGGCAAACAGAAGCTAAGCATCTCCTTTTCACCCAGGCAGAGTCTTATTCTGAATCAGAAAACAGCAACTATGTTAGCCAAAAAATTATCTTACTATGTAACAGAGGTGACTCAAAATTCTAATTTTTGGGTAAGATCCTGAGGATAAAATACAAGGACTCTGACTTTCAATATGAGACCTCATGCACATCAATAAATAAAGCAATTAAATTAAAAAAAAAAAAAAAAGAAGATAGAAAGCATTACGTCAAGTGCAGGGAAGGTCCTTACCAAGTGATACCACGTGCCCATAATTTTCCAACATCACATCCTTATAGAGATGCCTCTGAGCGTCGGTCAGACACTGCCACTCCCTGTCAGTGAAGTTCACAGCTACATCCTCGAATGTCACTGACTCCTGAAATAATATACTCCTGCTATCCTGAAGGAAACGCCAGTTTCCTCAGGAAACAGAGGCAAAAGAAAGGAATTTGCAAGGAGGAGGTTTATAGAAGTAAAAAGTCTGTTACCGTTTGCTGGATATGTACAAATTGGATGACAGGAAGCGTGGGTTTTGATAGCAAAAAAAACATGAAAGAGAAAACCCACAAGTGGTTTATCATGCAACAAAATGTTCCTTATGAGACAGAGAGAACCTTGATTTAGGAGTTGCGCAGATAGAGAATGCAGTGAAAATAAGGCCATATTTTGGGGGTAGTGATGTATTTTCAGGGAGAAGGAAAGGGGCCTCAGCTCACTTGGGCCTGGTTCATCCGTGTGATATCGGCTTGTGGCAGGTTTCCTTGGCTTCCATATTTAGTGAAGGCAGGATATTGAGCGGGTGATAGAGCTGAGGGAAGATAAGCAAGCCAAGACTCAATTTAGCACAGTGTTAATGAAATCTCCTGCATTCATCTTCTCTTCCTCAAAGGTAGATGCTTATGCAGTTCTAACCTAGGGCTTCAGGTTACTGCCTTACAGTATCCTTCCTCATTATTTTTCTAGTCTCAGCTTCCAGTGTTGGGCATCAGGCCCTGGCACAGTAGCCAAGACAACTCTTGGAAGTGTACTCTCCTCCTCTCTCACCTCCTGTTTTCCTGGAATAACCTTTCTCCATCCCCAGACAGGTCTGGTAAAAAGGCCCAAATCACTGACTCCCAGGTTTTGGATAACCTTTCTTCCTCTATTTGAATACTGAAGTCATTTCCTCCAAAATACTGGGAGTAGAAGGAGGGTGAAAAAGTGTTGTGTGTGTGTGTGTGTGTGTGTGTGTGTCGGGATGTGCTGAATACAAGCATCCAGAGTCAGGACCAAAGCTTATTTCCTCAGGTAACTTAATATTATTTCCTCAGGTAACTTAATAGCTGGTATACGTCCAGCTAGTTTGTAATATTTTTTTTCCCTTATTCTTATGAGAAGAATCATTCTTTCCCTGATTTTGCACGTTTTTCCTAATTCCTTGTTACTAAGCTGTCCTCCCTACACCAATATAGTATAGCACACACAGCATTTTAAAATGCAAAGGAGGCCGGGCGCGGTGGCTCAAGCCTGTAATCTCAGCACTTTGGGAGGCCGAGGCGGGTGGATCACGAGAGATCGAGACCATCCTGGTCAACATGGTGAAACCCCGTCTCTACTAAATATACAAAAAATTAGCTGGGCATGGTGGCGCGTGCCTGTAATCCCAGCTACTCAGGAGGCTGAGGCAGGAGAATTGCCTGAACCCAGGAGGTGGAGGTTGCGGTGAGCCGAGATCGCGCCATCGCACTCCAGCCTGGGTAACAAGAGCGAAACTCCGTCTCAAAAAAAAAAAAAAAAAAAACCAAAGGAAACTTTATGAAGAACGTCCAAGTGTTCAGGTATAATCCATGTGATTGGGTGAGAAGTGGTTTTATATTACTAATTAATAGGGCCTTAGTTTATTCTTTGCAGGCTAGCACAATCTTTCCGTAGCTTCAGTGTTCAAGGTGCCTATTTTTCTTGATAGTTTATCAACACATCCCCAAGTCCAAAGCTGAATAACCTCTTTCTGCTATTAATCACCAGCAGGTCAAAGTAATCTATTGGTAAGATTTTAAGATCACCTTTTGGCTTTACAACTCCAAGACTATCATTCCATTTTTACCAAAACCTGATTTTGGAACCAAGCTGATTTTTTTTCACTGCAATTGCCCAAGAAGACTCTTGTTTCATTTCAGCTACTTGCAGCTTCTCACCAAGACTAAGGCTACATCTCAATTGTGGTGGCTCCATACAGGTTTTCCACTGTCTTGCCTAAAAGCTCCAAGTTCCTTTATAACTGTTTGTCTCAAAAAGTCTAAACTCACCTGGATAGCACACAACTCACAGAAGATGTTTGTGCCGTATTAATGTTACATATCAGTTCTTTTCTTTATAACATTAACACAATTAAAGCTCTCTATCGGATGTTTTCAACCATTATTTATTTTATCAGGAATATTTTCAAGTATATAGAAAAGTAGAAAAATTATATAGTAAATATCCATATACCAACAACTTACATTCTACAATTTACGTTCTGCAGTATTTGCTTTATCACATACTTATCCATTTATCTATTCCTCTATCTGTTCATTAACGTATTTTATTTTTCAAATCATTTCAAATAAATTGAAAGCATCAGTACACTTTGCCCCTAAACACTTTTACATGTATATCACTAACTGGAAGTTTATATTTGTTTACCTTCTTTGTTCGGGTAAAATTTACATATAATGAAATGCACGTCTTAAATGTACCCTTATAGACACTGTGACAGAAGCATACTGCTATATGACTCCAATTCCCCTCCATCTACGTTGCTCCTGGTTTTTGCCATATCTCCTTCACAACTGGGAAAGTCTGTCACTCATCGTGATTCGTAAGCTTTATTTTTAGCTTTAGAAATTGAAAGGTCAGTTATTCCTCTTAAGTTAAAAATGAATTTAGGAAAGAGGTTACATGAAAAAACAACATACAACTTTGTGTTAAAGCAATATACAGATATGTTGTGGGATGAGATTAATACATTTGTACTGTATTACATGATATGTGGTTGTAGATTTTCTGATTCTGAAAATCTACCACAGGAGATTTCAACACCATTTGAGAAAAAGAGGACTGGGAGACTTGTCCATGTGAGTTTAGCAATAGCTAGTATTTTCTGTTTCTAAATTTATAAAGAAGTTATGTTCTATATGAATTCTCATTTATGATCCCTTGTACAGTAGACATTTCAGGATTCCTCCTATGGAGGTCTCAACATTGTATCTAGAAATATATTTTATTTTTCTTGTTGCAGGTAACATATACTAAAAAGCTTACTTTGGAATGTGCCTACTCATCTGTCCCAAAGTCTATGCCTTTCTGGGACTGATTTTATGACTCCTGAATTGCTATATGCCATTTCCTAGGTTGCACCTCCAGCAGCAGCATTTTTTGTCTGTTTGTTTTTAGACAGAGTCTCACTCCGTTGCCCAGGCTGGAGTGCAGTGCAACCTTCGCCTCTGTGTTCAAGTGGTTCTTCTGCCTCAGCCTCCTGAGTAGCTGAGGTTACAGGTGCGTGCCACCATGCCTGGCTAATTTTTGCATTTTTAGTAGAGATGGGGTTTCACTATACTGGCCAGGCTGACCTTGAACTGCTGACCTCAAGTGATCCACCCACCTTGGCCTTCCAAAGTGTTAGGATTACAGGCGTCAGCCATCACACCTGGACAACTAGCAGCTTTTATACAAATCTTAACCACTTTTCTTCCTCACATATGCCACCAAAGAGTACAAAGCTTCAATGAGGAAATGATTGCTCCTTCTTTTGTCACTGCTTTATTTTATGTTTCAGAGGTATCTATACATCATTTAAAAGTATCAAAGCTCCAAAGAGGTCTGCAGAAATAAAATTGTATATATTCAAAATTTACATGTTGGCAAAATTATGCTTGGGTATGAATTACTGAATTATACCACAAGTTTTATAAGTGTAAAATATTATGTATAAATATGTAGGCTATTTACCATGTATCTCAAGTTATACACATAGTAAATGTCTGCGTTGAATTTCTTTGATAAATTGCTTTGTAGATTATCTTTTATAAATTTTTGATTTTTTTCAAAATTTAAGATACCAGGAAAAACGGAATATTTAGTTCTGCTAGATATTGATCCAAGTCCAGTATAGAAACAAAAGACTTTTTACAAATGCTCAATAATGATCAGATTTTTGGGCTCCAGTGTGGCATTTTCCATTCTGTGTCCTTACTCCATTGTCAGCTGCCGTGACTCCTGCCACAATCTCCTGTGTACCTCACCTCTTTTCTGAGGGAGCTGGGTATCCTGGGGGGTCCAGGGCAGCCGGCTTGGTGGTTCTGAACTCTCATCCAACAGCACAGCCTATTGCAAGGCACAGAATGAATTCAGGGAAGTTATGAAGGCGAGAAAAATACATAGGAAAATGCAAGTAATTATATAGTTCTAGCCATGGAAACTGTTTCCCAGAAATACCGAGAGGGGAAAAAATCATGGGCCCAGTTCCTAACACCTTATGAAAACTAGAAATGGCATCCAATTACTCTCTACAACTACAAAGCTTTAATAATCACCAGGTCAAGCAGGAAAAAGAGTATGTGGGAGACCTTCAACAGTATCTAGAGTTGGACCCACCACCACTTGCACTGCTTTCTTTCTGGGACTCACATCTCCTTCTTCCTCCTTGTGATTTATCACAGACCCTCCTCTTCTTACCTCCTGCATCTTTTTGCCCAGGTTTCCTTAACAGTCTTCCACCGCTGCCCTAGAATCTTCCTACAGGTCAGACTGAGTTCTCAAACAAGTTGTGAAGTGGCTCCAGATGTCAGACTCCTTTGGAGAACACACGTTTTGGTGGTGCCGGCCAAAGGGCTCTTCTCGACCCACAGGGCAGCTTCTGTTTGGCTTAATGTGTCAAACACTGCCCTGGATTTGGGGTTCATTAGCAACTCTAGACCACCTGTGATCTCACATCTTGTTTTCCTGCATATTTGGTGAAGGGAAAAGAGGACTGTTACCACATTAAAAAAAAAAGGTAGTCACTGAGAACCTGAGGCAGGAACACAAACTGAAAATGTGAACATATCCAGAATACAATCTCTACTGCTACCACCCTTGTCTCAGCCACCAGCATCTGCGACCTCCCCTTCTTCCCATTACTGCAGTAGCTTTCTAACTGGTCTCCTTTCTTCAATCTTGGCCTTCCTCCTGTTGTCCTTCTCAATAGAGCAATCTGAGTGATCCGTTTACAACTTGAGTTGGATCATTGAATCTTTGCTCAAAACTCTCCAGTGGCTCAACCTTACTCATAATAAAAGCTGAAGTCCTGTAATTCCAGCACTTTGGGAGGCCGAGGCAGGTGGATCACGAGGTCAAGAGATCGAGATCATCCTGGTCAACATGGTGAAACCCCGTCTCTACTAAAAATTACAAAAAATCAGCTGGGCACGGTGGTGCGTGCCTGTAATCCCAGCTACTCAGGAGGCTGAGGCAGGAGAATTGCCTGAACCCAGGAGGCGGAGGTTGCGGTGAGCCGAGATCGTGCCATTGCACTCCAGCCTGGGTAACAAGAGCGAAACTCCGTCTCAAAAAAAAAAAAAAAAAAAAAGCTGAAGTCCTTACAGAGGTATACAAGGACCTATTCAAAGTGCACGTTACTTTTAACTTCTGTCCTGCTCACTCTAAAGAAAAGCTGAAGTCTTAAGCGTGACATACAAGTCTACAGCATGTGTGATTCTCAACAGCCCCGGCGCTCCCTCAATCTTCTCCAGCCACAGCGACCTTCCTCCGTTTCCATCTTAGGGCCTTTCCATTGGCTGCTCCCTTCACCTCAAGCGCTCTCCATTGCTAATAATCCTGCCTCCTTCAAGTGTTTTCTTATATGACATCTTGCCAAGGAGGTCCACTCTAAGTACCTTATTTAAAATTGCAAGCTATCCCCTCCTTACAATTCTGATGTGCCTTACCTTGCTTTACATGACTGCTTCTTTTCCTGTTGCGCTTTATCACTTTCCAATACGGTGCGTAAATTACTCATTAATATATACAGTGTCGGTTGGGGCGCGGTGGCTCACGCCTGTAATCCCATTACTTTGGGTGGCCAAGGCGGGTGGATCACGACGTCAGGAGATAGAGGCGAGCGGGGCTAACACGGTGAAACCCAGGCCCTACTAAAAATCCGAAAATTAGCTGGTCGTGGTGGCGCTCGCCTGTAGTCTCAGCTACTCGGGAGGCCGAGGCAGGAGAATCGCGCCAACCCGGGAGGCGGAGATTGCGGGGAGCAGAGATGGCCCAGCGCACTCCAGCTCGGGGGGCACAGCGAGACTCCCTGTCAGAAACAAACAAACAAATAAAAACGTTTATGGCCGTTCTGCCCTCGCCAAAACGTAGGCTCTTAGGCTCCGTGAGGGCAGGAATTTTTGTCGTTTTGTTCACTGTTGTATTCTCAGCGCCTAAAACAGCACTTGCAACAGTATGTGCTGGATTAATAATCAGCTGACTGACTGACTATACGAATGGACGCTGCGGAGAAGAATAAAAAGAATGGGTCAGGGGCCGCTGGGAACAAGAGGAGGGCAGGAGGTGAGGCAAATGCGCGGGAAAACCTCATTTTGGGGATTGGCTTCGAGGCCGGAAACTGCAGCGGACGCCCCTCCAATCTGGCCCAAAGCCCCGCCCCTGCCTGCAACCCCTGGGCCTGGTATTTAGTGACGGGGCGGGGGCGCCGGACTCCTCTCCGCTCAGCTGCAGATCCCGACTCACGACCGCCCAAGCCACAGACGTTCCGGCCGATGAGACAAAAAAAGTACAGCAGATCCACTTCCTAGTCCGCCAAACACCATTTCCGGTGACGTTCTAGGAAAGGCGCCAACTCGCTGGTCTACGCGTTCCCTCAGACTCTCCGCCTTCCCTCAGACTCTCTCTCCGCCTTCCTCCTCGCGGCTCAGCCTTCTAGGAGTTTGCGCGCGTTGAAAATCTAGGTAGAAACGGACAGAAGTTTTGTGACAAATATATGAAAAAGTTACTTTTAAATATTAGCTAAGAACACAACGGAATGGCTTTTTCAAAAGTAAATGCTATTTTAAGCCTATGCAGAAGTCGAAAGAAGAGTATAATTAACCCTCATATTCGTATCGTTGACGTTAAACAATACATGAAATACTTGTTTCATCTATCTCCATTTTTCCTGCCGAAACGTTTTAAAACAAACCCCAAATATGTTATTTTCAACTTCATTATGCATTTCTTTGCAAAAGGATATTTTTTTACAGAATCACAATACCATTATCACATTTAACAAAATAATTCCTGGTTATCATCTAATATCAAGTCCATATTATTTCCCTAAATATATATGTATGCTTCTTACATTTGTTTTCTTTTTCATTGAGGATCTGAACTCCGTATTTTAATTTGGGCATGTGTCTTAATTTTTTAAAAATTCACGTCGGGGCCAGGCAGAGCACTTTATGCCACACATCCGGAAGCATGTAATGTTGTTGATGCTAAGATTGACCAATGGGTTTAATACTTGATAGTTGAATCCCTCCATGTAAACTTAACCGTGGGCTTTTAATCTGATACATTTGGTCACTCATGATTTTTGTCAAAATTACCCATTTCTTCAGAGGTTGTAAAATTGTAATTTTTCTAATTCAATTTTTTTTTACATTTATTAGTTAGAATTCCTCTATAAAGAAAACGTTTTCTTCATAATTTTAGCAATTCAGGGCTATTTGGTTATCCTGAAATGTAGTTTGTATAGGAAAGACAGACTTTAATTTTCATCATAATTGCCAATTTTCAGAAAAAGCAGTTGTGCCCTAGGTGCCATCAGTGGTGACCATCTTACAAAATGTGATGTGATAGCCATCCTACAAAATGCCTGGCTGGGCCCTATTGTCCAGCATTCACAGCCTTCTGTAGCCCCCTTCCATAGTGTATCAGGGTTGGTTTGTGTGACCAGTGATCTGGTAGGAGTGATGCTAAGTGTTTTATTTTTTTATTTTTTGAGACAGAGTCTCTCTCTGTTGTGCAATCTTAGCTCAGTGAAATCTCCACCTCCCGGGTTCAAGTGAGTCTCCTGCCAAGTAGCTGGGACTACAGGTGCACACCAGCATGCCCAGCTAATTTTTGTGTTTTTAGTAGAGATGGATTTCACCATTTCGGCCAGGCTGGTCTTGAGCTTTTGGCCTCAAGTGATCTGCCCGCCTCAGCCTCCCAAAGTGCTGGGATTACAGGCATGAGCCATTGCACCTGGCCGATGCTACATTATCTTTAATATTAGGTCATAAAATAATCTTTGGCTTCTGTCTTGGTCTCTTTCTCTTCCTTTCTTAGATCACTCACCCTTGGGAAAGCCAAATGCCATATTGTAAAGAGAGACCCATGTAATGAGGAACTGAAGCCTCCTGCCAACGGCCACATGATTGATTTTGGAAGTGGATCTTTCTACGTTAGTGAAGCTTTCAGATCACTGCAGCCCCAGGTGATGTCTTGGGTGCAACCTTATTGTAGGCCTAGAACCACCAGCCAAGCTGCTCCCAGATTTCTGGTCTGCAGAAACTGGGAATGGCTTTGAGGGAGGAAACTGCGACAGATGTTTGGTTCTACGTTTTAGGGTAATCTGTTGTGCATCAGTTGATAACTAGTGCAAAGGTTTTGTTTTCTTTTTTTGCATATCAGTATGAACACAGGGATTTAAAAAATACATTCAGTGAGTCTTGATCAATTGCAGTTATTATTCTTTTTAAGGTTCAACTTATTTCAGGTTTGGTCAGTGGGAGTCCATTCATTTTATCTCCTGTGTCCTTTTCATCCAACTCTAAGTGTCTTGGATAGCTTTTTTCCTTTATGGCAAGATAAATATTTCAGACACATTTCATACATTTCTTGCCTCAGACCTGGAATCAGCCATTTTTCCAAGGTGTTCTGGTGCTTTCAGTGGGGTCAAAGATTGCATACCTTCGTGAATAGTCATGGTTAACTGCTTTGAAAATGTACCAAAATAAAATAAAATTTGCTTAACTATTTGCCTGCCTCGGCCTTCCAAAGTGCTGGAATTACAGGCGTGAGCCATGGCGCCTGGCCACAATCCCCAAATTTTATAAAATTTTATTCTGGTCTAATGGAAATTGGCATTTAACCAGAATGATCCCTAAAGTAATAAGTCTATAATTTTGTAAATGAGTTCAGTAAATACTGTGTAAAGGCACTGACTGCAAGGAGCTACAGGAGAGATGCTATTCATGGTCATCTCCCCTTCAGGCTGACTGGGTACAGTCTTTCTTCTCAATATTAATCTACTTAACAGTATTAATGTCCGGTTCACATATTTTTGTGCTGAACATTCATGAAAGACTGCTATACCCTTTACTGTTATAAAGATACTTCCACAGTACACCTTTAGTTATACTTTAATAATCTAGTTCCATTGAGACATTTATTTACACTATTTGTTCTTGGCTAACCACAATCGCGCATAAAATATCTCCTCAAAGATTTACTACTGGAATTTTGCCAGGGATCCATGTAAAAATTTTCTCCCTGTTAATCCCACAGTTCACCTTCTTACTTTTTGAAAATTTGGGTATTTTTCCAAGTTGGGCATATGTTGCACTACTCAAAAATGGCCTTCAGGGGTCCTGTGGCCAATCCTCCTGAGTTTTAGAACGCTTTAAGCTGGGCATGAATACTTGTGCTCATTTATGGCAAATAGTTATTCTTTTACTACCTTCCTTATGTAAATGTTTATTGTACCGTTCTCAACTGAAAGGTCATGAGATGTGATGGAGAAATGAAAGCCTGATTATGTTAAGTAATTCTCTGCCCCGTGGAGTTCACACTCAAGTAATTCTAAATTAACTTGTGCTTTCGTCTTCTTGGTCTTTCTCTTTCTACACAGAAGAGGATACATTTCATATTCAAGCTAATCTGTTCCCCCAAAATGATAAGAGTGTAATACCGGCCAAGAGTGTTATTTTTGTTTGTTTTTGTTTTTTGTTTTCTTTTTTGTTGTTTTGAGACGGAGTTTCGCTCTTGTTACCCAGGCTGGAGTGCAATGGCGCGATCTCGGCTCACCGCAACCTCCGCCTCCTGGGTTCAAGCAATTCTCCTGCCTCAGCCTCCCGAGTAGCTGGGACTACAGGCGCGCACCACCATGCCCAGCTAATTTTTGTATTGTTAGTAGAGATGGGGTTACACCTTGTTGACCAGGATGGTCTCAATCTCTGGACCTCAAGATCCACCCGCCTCGGCCTCCCAAAGTGCTGTGATTATAGGCGTGAGCCACCTGGGATTCAGACAGCACAGCTTTCTGGAGTCTGCAGGGCTAGACCAAAGGGAATAGTCCTCCGCGGAGCCTAGAAGGGCAAAGCACGCATTACCGTGGAGACGCGGAATGGAAAAGCGTTCGGTTTCTTGTCTACGAGCCGCGGATGGGGTCGTGATTTCTTCGACCTCGCCGCAGAGAAGGGGGCGGGAGGTCTTTGGACTATACTTGGGCCACACCGCGGGTAAGATGAGGCCGCAGAGCAGGTCCTCGTGGAGGGTGGGAGTCCGGGCAGGGAAGCCCCTCCTGCTTCCCCGCTCTGGAGCTCTGGGGCGGGTCGGGGCGTGGAGGTGGGTGGAGAGGATCCCGCCTGCAGAAGCATCTTATTTTTATCCTCTTCTCGGCTGTTTTTCTCTCCTCCATTTGTTTCTCCTTCTCTAAGCCATCCTTTAATATTAAACATTAAAAAATATATTTGGCAAACTTTTAAAAAATATTTATTTATTATACTTTATGTTCTAGGGTACATGTTCAGAATGTGCAGGATTGTTATATAGCTATACACTTGCCATGGTGGTTTGCCACCTCCATCACCCCGTCACCTACATTAGGTATTTCTCCTAATGCTATCCCTCCCCTATCCACCAACCCCTGACAGGTCCGGGTGTGTGATGTTCCCCTCCCTGTGTGCATGTGTTCTCATTGTTCAATAACCACTTATGCGTTAGAGAATGTGCGGTGTTTAGCTTTCTGTTCTTATGTCAGTTTGTTGAGAATGATGGTTTCCAGTTTCATCCATATCCCTGCAAAGGACGTGAACTCATCCTTTTTTATGGCTGCATAGTATTCCATGGTGTGTATGTGCCATATTTTTTTTATCCAGTCTATCATTGACGGGCATTTGGGTTGGTTCCAAGACTTTGCTATTGTGAACGGTGCTGTAATAAACATATGTGTCCATGTGTCTTTATAATAGAATGATTTATAATCTTATGGGTATATACCCAGTATTGGGATTGCTGGGTCAAATGGTATTTCTATTTCTAGATCCTTGAGGAACTGCCACATTGTCTTCCACAATGGTTAAACTGATTTATGCTCCCACCAAGAGTGTAAAAGTGTTTCTATTTCTCCACATCCTCTCCAGCATCTGTTGTCTCCTGATTTTTAAATGATTGCCATTCTAACTGGTGTGAGATGGTATCTCAGTGTGCTTTTGATTTGCTTTTCTCTAATGACCAGTGATGATGAACATTTTTTCATGTTTGTTGGCTGCATAAATGTCTTCTTTTGAAAAGTGTCTGTTCATATCCTTTGCCCACTTTTTGATGGGGTTGTTTTTTTCTTGTAAATTTGTTTAAGTTCTTTGTAGATTCTGGATATTAGCCCTTTGTCAGATGGGTAGATTGCAAAAATTTTATCCCATTCTGTTGGTTGCCGGTTCACTCTAATGATAGTTTCTTTTGTTCCTAAGTTTAATTAGATTCATTTGTCTATTTTGGCTGTTGTTGCCATTGCTTTTGGTGTTTGTTTTGGCTATTTTTGCCATTGCTTTTGGTGCAGAAGCTCT